ATCATGTTCCTTTATAGCCCTTTCTGCTTCTGCAGAGTCAGAAATAATTTGCCATTTTTCATTCTCAGTGTCGTACATTTCTCTCCCTCTTTCTTTAGCTTCATGAGCTGTGCTAAAGGTCTTTCAACATTGCTTTATTCAAAGAACCAATGCTTGCTTTCATTGACTTCTCAAGCTTGTTCATTTGTTTTTAATTATGTGCACATATATGGGGGGTGTTTAAAAATGTGCCTTTGGAGACCAGAAGAACACACTGGATCCCCTGAGGCTGTAGTTACAGAACAATGTGAGCCACTCAACCTAGGTTCTGTAAGAACAGTGTGTGCATTTAATCAGTAAGCCATTACTTCCACCCACCATTGCTTTTCTATTTAATGTTTTGTTTATTTCAGTTCAGATCTCTAATCTTATCTTCATTTTTGTTGGCTTGGATTTCAGTTGTTTTTGTTTTTCCCACTTCTTAAGGTAAAACTTAAGGTTATTTATCTGAAATATTTCTTCTTTGATCAAAAACCTTAAGTTAAAAAGGAAAGAATCTAGAACAATTCTAGTAAAGAATGTGAATAAAGACACTGAAATTATGAAAAGGAGGCAAATCGAAATTCACAAGCCTACTGCTGGCAGGCCATGCAGAGCTGTCTGGTGTGGTACCCCCTTTCTATTGAAAGTAAGGAGCACTTCATTTCTCCTTAGCTAGGGCCACCCTTAGAAATTGTTCTCAGGAGACACACAGGTTTATTGTATTGATACAGTCTATTGAAAAGCTCAGATAACTTCATTTAATCCTTATGCTATCACAGGAACAGTAAATAAATCATTGGGCTTTTTCATATTTGGAATCCAGATCTACCTCCTCAGACACCTCGCTGTCATTCATATCCTCGCCAGTCCTCAGCACAAGAGAAGGTATTCTGTGGAAGTGTGAAGATGACAGGCAATTTGGGGGTTCCTGACAGTCTGAGACCTGGCTGATCTCATGACAGAAGAAAGTAAATATGAACACTCTCCAAAGACACATGTGTGTTCTTTCTTGGATTAGTACATATTATCTAGATATTTTCTACTCCCCGTATCATCCATGAAGGTAGAAACTTGGTTTTGTTGGGTTTTGTTGGTTTTGTTCTTTGGTTTTTTTTTTTCTTTTCCCTGTCACACAAAAGTATGTTCTCTGCTTCCCTGAGGCTGTGAAATAGGCTGTTCTGTTTTTTTTTTTTTGAATAGAAATAGTTAATTTTTATTTATTTTTGTTGCTTTTCCCTACTTATTTTTTTAATTTATTTATTTATTAAGGATTTCTGCCTCCTCCCTGCCACCGCCTCCCATTTCCCTCCCCCTCCCCCGATCAAGTCCCTCTCCCTCATCAGCTGGAGGAGCAATCCGGGTTCCCTGACCTGTGGGAAGTCCATGGACCGCCCACCTCCATTCAGGTTTAGTAAGGTGAGCATCCAAACTGCCTAGGCTCCCACAAAGCCAGTACGTGCAGTAGGATCAAAAACCCATTGCCATTGTTCTTGAGTTCTCAGTAGTCCTCAAGGAGACAGAGACAGAGACCCACATTGGAGCACCGGACAGAAATCTCAAGGTCCAAATCAGGAGCAGAAGGAGAGGGAGCACGAGCAAGGAACTCAGGACCGCGAGGGGTACACCCACACAATGAAATAGGCTGTTCTTATCTGACCACTACTTCAAACGCTGATGAAGAAGTTGTTCTTTCCCACACTGGGTCATCAGTAGATATCCCGTGGGCACTGGGCACATTCCAGAAAACTGAGGCATTGCAATGGAACAACAGCTGAGGCTCTTTCTCTTTGTTCCGTGATCACTCAGGCAATCTGTTCACACTGAGATCTCATTCCTCCAAATCAACCGTTCACCGCCAGCCTCACTGACCTATCCAGCAAGGTCACTATGCGAAGACATTTCCACCACCAGTGAAACTACGGATTTTTGTATACCTTATGAAGAATAAAATTATTTTTATTGTACATCTGTGTATATGCGTGATGTGTTTGTGTGCGTATGTGAGCGAGCGTATGTGCGTGCACATGTGTGCATATGCTACAACACATAGAAGTCAGAGGACAACTTTGTGTAATCAATTCTCTCCCCTCCTTCCATTTCCACCTTTATAGGAGTCCCAGAGACTGAACCCATGCCACAAGGCTCATAGGGGAAGTCCCTGTACCCATTGAGCCATCTCACCAACCCTAGATCTATTTAATAACAAACAAACAAGAAAATAAAAACAATCATTCATCAATGGAAGAATTGGTTAATGAAAAATGTGGTAAGAAACCAATAAAATTTTACTCAACTGTAAGGGAAAACAAAATTATGAAATTTGTAGGTAAATAGATGGAACTGGAAATTTTATCCTAAGCAAACAACACAAGCCTGAAAGACAGACCTGCAAGCTTTCTTTCATGTGCAGATCCTAGCTTCTGGTCTTTAGACTTCTGAGTTTAACTCAGAAAACCTGTAGAAGGCAGGAAATGAGCCTGCAGTTGAGAACACATCCTGCTTTGGGAAAGGACCTGAATTTGTCTCCTAGTACCCATGTCAAGCAGCTCATAACCACCTACATAACCTAAGCTCCAGGGAATTCTAAACCCTCTGGTAACGTCCTCAGGCACCTATACTCACATACACACATATGCATAATTGAAAATAAAGTAAATATTTGTTAAAGAGTCCAGGAAACTAGTAAAGGATCATGAGAGTGAAAGATGTTTCAAGGGAGATGGCACAGCAGAGTATAGGTGATGTGAAGACAGGGAGCGGGTAATGCTGGCAAGCGGAGAATGTTAACCAGGTATGAGAGTAGAGAAATGAGAAAGAGAGAAAATCAAAAGGGTGAGTTGATCAAAATGATGTGTGCATTGAAAAGCCATATAGAAGCTTGATGTTAAGAATATGACGATCCAGTTCTCACCCCTAAACACATAGTATAATCAATGGAATCATAAGCTCATGGCAGAAGTAGGTACCTGTGATAAGCCTGCACAAGACTGCCTCTGTCACCAACCAATCACAGATTAGGGAGTGGCCTCTGCAGTCCTGTCCTTCCAAGCTGGGCTGAGGACTTCCTCTAATGGGTTCTGAGGGAAGGACAAGAATTGTCTTCAAGTTCTGAGCCCAGTGGTGACCACCATGTTCCAGTGGATAGTTCCAGACTAGCGAAAACACAAATGGCCCTGGATGAATGAAGAGGGTCACAAACAAAGCCAAAAGACAGGAATGTGGGAAAGGATTTGTAGAAAGGCAGGAGTAATGGGGTCATGGGAGGAAAAGAGGGGTAAGGGTGACAGTAATAAGAATACACTATAAGTAGGTGGTGGTGGTGCTTGCATTTAATACCAGCACTTGGGAGGCAGAGGCAGGCAGATCTCTGTGAGTTCAAAGCTAGACTGATCAACAAAGCAAATTCCAGCACAGCCAGAGCTGTTATACAGAAAATCTCTGTCTCAAGAAAAGAAAGAAAGAAAGAAAGAAAGAAAGAAAGAAAGAAAGAAAGAAAGGCACTTCATATATATGTATGAAAAGGCATACATACATACATATACATGCATATTTGCCAAAGGACAAATTTAATAAAAGATTTCAATTTGGCAATTCTATTATTTTACTTATTTACTTACTTTTTACATTTATTTATTTATTCTGTTGGGAAGAGGGAAGCATTGTGTACTCCTGCACATTTGTGTTGGGGGCAGCTTTCAGGAGCCAGTTCTATATGTCCTTCATGTGGATTCTGAGGCTGGAACTCAGGTCGTCAGGCTTGGTAGCAAGCACCTTACTCACTGAACCCCCTTGGATCCTTCTTTTAAATATGTATGAGCTATGCCAAGAACAGATGGACACATTTGTTTCTTTCCACAGTGTAAGACTTTATTAACTAAACTTATTGTTATAAATTCAGAAACTACATCTGATTTCATGGCTTTAGTTCGCTCAGCTATGGTCAATAACATTTTCTTTTATTCAAATCTTAATCACCAATATTAACTATCAGATCATGAATTATAACTCTCCCTTTTCCTCCCTCTCTTCTTCTCCCCCCCTCTGTGTGTGTGTGTGATATCTCCCTCCCCCCTCATGTGTATGTGTATGTTACCTCCCTCCCTCCCTCCCTCCCTTCCTCTCTCCCTCCCCCTCCCTCTCTCTCTTTTGTGTGTGTGTGTTTACAGAATGGCTGTAAAAGTGTTAGAAGCTCTTAAGGGATCAAATGGGCTGCAATGAAGACAGAAGCAAAGAGCTGAGGCACACCAAAGAAAATGTCTCTGTAGAAGACCAGATAAGGAATTATACTGGCCAGGCATGGTAGTACAAGTATGTGCACAGACGTGTTTAACACATGAACTGTAAATGATGACACTTTAATAGGATAAAGGTGCTCTCAGGAGAGCAGGCACTTGGTGTGTATCAGAAATCCTGAGAGTCGGAATAAATCAAGTCTAGGACTTTCCTAGTCAGTCTCTTTCCCCCAAAGTTACAAAGAAAAGAAATTAAAGTGGTCGATTTTTTTAGGACCAGGGCATACCTTTCAATGACTTCCCGAGTGTCCCACCCCTAACTCCTACTGAAGCAGCCCAACCTCACCAGTGTATAAATAGTGACACTTCCTGCCCTAACTTGAACTTTTCTGCCTCCAAAATGGGCAAGCCTCACTTAACGGGATATCTCATCTTACTCTGCTATTTGAAGGGTGAGTCCTGAGAGTCACCAATTGCTGAGCAAAGTCCAAGATCCAGCAATGGGTGAGAAGTCCCATGATGCAGGTCAGCCGTGGTAAGCCAGCAGAAAGAGCAGCCCCTGTGTTCTGTGCCTTCCACTCACCCTGTATTAGATCACTAGGACCATAACCAAAGCCCTGTTGCCCACAGGAGAAAGTTGATGATTTACTAACAGTTTGAGAGATTCCTGGAAGTTGTGAAATAGGGTTGGAAAAGTATACTCTCTTCAGAGAGTATGATTTTCATCTTTTTGGTTTTTTCCAACAGTTTTCTCTGCGTCATTTCCACATGAGATAGACAAATGTGAGTAAAAAAAAAAAAACGGATGTGAAGATGAGTAAGAAGGAAGAATCCAGTAGGAGTGGAGTGGGGTGGACACTGAGGGCTCAAAGTAAACCACAAATAGACATAATTCCCACACTCAGCAAGCTAGAAGACAGAATGAGCCCTAGGGGGAAAGGGAAAGCCAACGGTGTAAATCTCAGACAGAAGTGCTGACTCACTCTCTTGTCTCACATGAGCAGCAGATAAAGTACTCGTTCATGAAAATAACAACGGTGAGTACAAAGGAACCCTAGCCTGACCGTCTTGGCACTATGCTTCTTTGTCCTTCTGCTTCCCCTCTCTGTCCCTACCATCTTCCACACTGGATCTTCTGAGACTTCACATGAACTCCTGCCACGCTTTTGGTTTCTCCCATTCTAAAAGAGACACATAACCATGCTTGGAGGGGGGTTGGGGCCCATGATGGTGACAAAGTCTTCCAGTGCTAAGTATGCTTCAAACTTGAAATGGAGGGGATCTTTCATGGTAGTGTCATTGCTCGTGTCTCTCTTCAAGTTGTGCAGTGTAGGATGTGCCACCTCCAGTTCCCTGGGGAAAAGTGCTCTAGAGGAAGAGGAATATGTACCGCAACAGCAGAAGAGGCCTGTATGGTGGGAAAGATGTACAAAAGTAAGTGGTGCGGTAATGAGGAAAAGATGGGGAAGAAGAAGCAGGATGTGTGGGCCGCGGGGATGAACACGGGAACTTCCGGTTACTACAGACAGCCTCACTTCTAAGGTAGCTCGTAATATCACTCCTGTGATTCACTATAATGAAGGAGAAGTGGAAATAGCTGCTGAAGCTAACGTAAAATTCAAGGCTACAGGAAGAAGCCTGAAGAGATGGGGGGGGGCAGAATGCTGGAAAGAAAGGATGTAATACTCACCCTCAGGAGAGCAGCCATTTGGTAATGAAAGCAGCCCTCTGTGTACCTACCCAGGCTTTTTCAAGAATGGGATTCCAAGCTATGGAAAGAAGGGGGCCAGTGTCAGCAATATGCCCTGGTTGCATCTCTTTCTGAATAAGGTTATATAAGATTTCTCTAGTTTTGTACCCTCAGTGACACTCAAGCCTTGAGATTCTCTGTAGAAGCCTCTCTCTTAGCTAACCCCTTTTCTCATGACCTTCCTACTGCCAATGAAGTCTTAAAACTGCACGGCTATTTCTTTTCTTCTGGGTAGCCACCAACTTCCAATGCCTTCCAATCCCTCCTGTCTGGATAATGGATCATGACACTGCATGGTGATGCCTAGATGCCAGTGTGGGTTGGAGAGAGGTTGGTTTACAGAAGCATTTGCCGGACTTGCTGATCTGTTCTTCCCTCTTCTGCAGGGGATGGTACCATCTGGTTAAACTTCATGGGCTGCTTAAAGAACTGTGCCAATGTGAAAAACATAAGGTGGGGCCCCTATCTGGTAAACTTCAGGTGCTGCCGGGGCTATGACATGTGCAACGAAACATTTTAGACGTGCTTTAACATCTGGGTGAAGGGATGGCTTCTCCACAAGGACTCCCTGTGGCTAGCACTACATTTAGAAGGACTGCAAGCACGTGACTCTGCCACCTACGTGTAAGAGGAAATGCACCCTTTCTCTGAAGAGCCTTCCCATTCCGAAATCAATAAAAAGTGAATAAATACAACCTTATTATAGAGATCAGCATGTGTTTGAGTTGTTAGTAAACCCATTGGATGGCCAAGTACTCACGACAAAAGAAATAATTAAAATGCAAATGATGCTCCTTCTTTTCCTTTCTTCTATTTTATGGCATAATGTTTTTTAAATTTTGTATTACCATGTAAAATTGTTATGCACAATAATTGGTTTTAATGTGACATTTACATACATGGATAGAATGTATTCCAATCAAACTCACCCTGTTACTCTCCCTTGTCCTCCACTCCACCCATCACCTCCTCAACTACCCTGCCCCTTCGACTTTCACTTCTTGAGTGTGTGCAGTTTGGTAGTTTTAATTACTGTTTACTTAGGGTTTCTATTGCTGTGAAGAGACACCATGACCACCACAATTCTTATAAAGAAAACATTTAATTAAGGGTGGCCACTTACATTTTCAGAGGTTCTATCTATTGTGATCATGAAGGAGGAGAAGCATGGTAGCATGCAGGCAGATGTGATGCTGGAGCTGAGAATGCTACATCTTGACTCAGACACAACAGGAAGTTGATTGACTGTCACACTGAGGGAAGCTTAAGAAAAAGAGTCCTCAAAGCCCACCCCCAGAGTGACACATTTCCTCCCACAAGGCCACACCTACTCCAACAAAGTCACACCTCCTAATAGTGTCTCTTTCTCGAGATTATGGGGGCCAAATACATTCAAACTACCACAAAGAGGATCATCTTTGAAAGGTTCTTTACAGGCATGAAGAAAGCATCTCTCCTTTTCCCAATAGTCACATTCTCTTTGGTCTTTCATCCAGGTGACAGTTCCTTCTTTCTCCACACCTGACTCATGACTCCACTTCATAATGCTGAAACCCCAGCAGAGTACAGCTGTAATAGGGCCCATTCTGCAATCCACAGTGTGACGGAGAAGACTTGGCAAATCCTCTGCTCTAGGCTCCGGTGCCCAGATAGATGGAAGGGAGCACTACAGTAGTAGCCAGAGAAATCCAGTCACATCATCTTGACTTGTTATGTCCTTCACAACATTTCCCTGAAACAGGGAATGGATAGTTGGTCCTATCCAGTGACTGGGCCCATTGAACAGCCAGTGGTGTCCCTGGACTTAGAAGCTGACTAAATCTGGCAGGAGCTGATGCTCCCTCGCTTTAGTTAATATGGAAGGTGGAGGAAGGAGGAAGACTTTCCAGAACGAACTACGAAAACTTTCCCCGCACCACCCATCACCAAATTCTGTCATCCAGGGTGACTGAATATGCACACTTAACACTTCCGTTCTTACTGTTGCGGTAGCATAAGGAGCCCTAGTTCATCAGAGTACACACCTCAAATCCTTGGAAACATTTCATTGCGGACAGGTAAAAATGCTAAGAACACAATCATTTGTTCTGACTTCTAAATCTTGATTCCTGGCCTTGTGCTTCCTGTTCAGTTGTAAAGCAGAGCCATATACTAACCTATCTTAGAGCATATGTTACATCCCATTTGATAGGCAATCACTGTAATGCTTGATTCCAAATCATAGTTTAACTGAGGTTTTATTGACACATGCCCCCATCTCTTAGGTTAACAGCTAATGAGATACATGGGAGATCAGTAGTCTTCACAGCCATGAGCCCACTACTGTATCATCTTTGTAATAAAATGGGTTCTTAGGTGCTATGTGAGCTGTCTTGGCACAGACTGGGGCTTTTCCAAGCCTGCAATAATGGCATTGGAAGCACCGCTGTTACTAGGAGCAGTTGTCTCTAAGATATGTGCTTGTTCCCGTACAAATAACTTCTATCCATGATGCTCAGGCTTTACCTCCAGTCAGAGCAAATGACCCTGAATTATCTTAAAGCTATGAATGAAACAAATAACCAATTGTTAGGTTAGCAATTTTTTTCCTACATTGTTGTCTTTCAGGAACATTTTTGATCAGAGTTTAATTCTTCAGTCATGGTTGACAGAATATTTGTAAATTCTAATTTCCTCCTTATCAAATCAGTGAGCTATGAAATCAGAGTGTGCACATGCACAGTAAGAGAGGAAGTGAAGAGCAGAGCCACCTGGGAGTTCGTGTCACGAACTGTGCATTGGCGACCCTTTGAGTCTCACAACTTACTGGTCATTTTCCTGTAAGAATTATTACTTCACCGGAAAAACCTGCACACCCGTGGTAGCATGCCCACCTAAATGATCCACAGTTAGAGGAAGTGAGTCAGTGAGACATTAAATTTTAGTTGCCAAAGTCATAAATGCAGGAAAACCCAGGTGTTTGATTCACATACAGGCAGCTCTGGAAAATTCTCTAGAAAATGGTCTTGCTACAAAGAGCTAGAATTAAATACACCTGTAAATAGTATAGAAAATATAGGGAATAAAGAAAGGCGGCACAGAGAGGGTCATGGGAAAGCTCGTCATAAAGAAGTTGCATTTGAACTTAGAACTGTAAGCTGGCCTGATTGGTCAGGGTAAGGGGCGGGGGGAGATAGAGTCATGTATAAGGATTGTGCCTCCTCTCCTGATAAGGAGAGTGTGTGGAGCAGCTGAGCAGAGTCCCTGTCAGGACATTCTAGTTTCTGTCATTTGTTTCTGAACTCAGTGATTTATTTTCTCCTAGCACTTAGGAAATTAACCGTGGCCCTCGGGGTTTTAGGCAGTTCTGCCCTTGGTTGAGAATTTGGTTCTCTGTTTAGGGGAGAAGTAAGCTTTCCTTCTTTACAGAGACTCATGATATAGGAGAGGAGGACACTGACAGGTCCCTGTGAGATGGAAATGGAGCATGGTTTCTGTCCCTCCCTCTCCGAGTCAATCCTGGAGAAATTCTGAAGTTGAGTAATTCTGAATCAACTCACCCTCAACTACAGAGATTGCTGCTGTGTCTTTGAAATCACATGTCTGAGCTAGCATTTGTTCTTCTCGTGCAGCACTGAAACCCACGTCATTTCCTGTTGCCAGCCTCTTGGTTAAGGGTTTTCATGGCATGCTATTCTTCTCCCCTGATCATAGTGTCCTGAGTAGATGCTCTTTCTCACTGCACCTAGATAAAGGTATTTGGTTGTTCTCAGTGTTAGCAAGATACCTGTATGCTTTCCTTTCTTTGCTTACCCATTCCCTTTGAGGCAGGGTCTCTCTATGTAGCCTAGCCTGCCTTGGACTTTTGATCATCCTGCCTCAGCCTTCAGAGTGCTGGAATTATGGTGAGTCACCACTCCAGTCTGTATGTTTTATCTTATTAATCTATTATCCAGAAACTTTCTGTTCTAAGGTCATAGCACATATTGCCTGAAGTAGTGAAATCAGGCATGGCCTGTGGCGTTAGAGAAAATTCTGCTCTTGACTGTTTCCCATGCTTCACTGAGACTTAACTACTTTGATAGCTTAAATGAGAAATTTGGCATCATCCATACTAGATTTTTAATGCGAAACTACAGAGAAATATTATGAGACAAGACATCCCTCATCTGCCCATCTCTCACCCCTAGTAGCTATAGATTATATTTTAGGGAGTCTGAGTTACCCCAGTATGACTTTTCTTTAAGGTATCTACCTTATTACTATGATAGAGTCAGGATTCACTAAAGAATCAGAACTGATAGAATGAATATATACATATATTCAAACACGAGTTTATATATATAATATATATACATATATTCACACACGGATGCACAAATCCAGCTTTTTTAAAAATTCATTTATTTATTGTGTACACAATATTCTGCCCATATATATGTTTGTATACAAGAAGAGAACGCTAGCTCTCACTATATTATTGCTGAGAATAAACTCAGGACCTCTGGAAGAGCAGAGCCATCTCTCCAGCCCCAAATCCAGCTTCTTTTTGCTTTTTTATATTAAAATATGACTATAAAGCTTGTTATCTTTGCACTTATTTTTCCTCTCTAATTTTTTCCCGAAATTAAGCTTATGAACGTGATATTCATATATATTGTTATTTTAAATATATTTTCATATTCATACATGTATATGATGTATTTAGCGCAAATCCTCCCCAATCCTTCACCTACTATTATCCCCAAAACTTTTTCTTCTAACTTTATGTGCTCTCTCTTTTTGTCACTACCCTCTGAAGCTATTTAGTGCTGCCTGAATGTTCGTGGGTATGGGATCATCTACTAGGTCATGGGTCACCTTTCAGGACCTGTATGTCTAAAGAAAACTGACAAACACTCCCCAAGAAGCTATCAGTAGACAATAGCCCCTCGGACTCTGGAGGGATATCGTGAGCTTCTGACACACCCATGCTGGGATTTTGTCTGACTTGATCTTGCGTAAGTCTTGTGGACACAGTCTCAGCCTATGCAAGTCTATATGTGCAACTATGTTGTCATGTCCAGTAAATGCTTTTTCCCTACAGACATCTGTGCCTTGTGGTTCTTACAGTCTTTCTGGTTCCTCTTCTGTAATGATCCCTCAGCCTTGGGAGAAGAGGGTATGATAGAGATGTCTCACTTAGAGTCAGGCATTCCAGTCTCTTACTCTGTACACTTTGACAGATCATGGGTCTCAGTATTAGTTGACATCAACAAACAAAAAGAAGTTTCTCTGACAAAGGTTGAGAGTTGCATAACCTATGGATGTAAATATAAGAATTTAGGGGCAGTTTATTACTAGGTCCATTTACAGAGTTAGTTGTAGCATCCCTAGCGCACAAGTCATTTCTTGTTGGTAATGTATTAATCAATGCAAATTTTCTTTATTTGCATATCTGGTATCATAAATGACTGTGGATATTGTGTTATGTGTAGTAACAATTTATATTCCTCCTTTATATTCTTGGTGTACTTTATTTAATTGTTCATTTCTTATTATTTAATTTGTAGTTGACCTTATATTTATTTATATGCAAGAACTTTGGTATATTTAGGAGACAAACCATCAGATAATTTTTTTCTAATTACATTCCTATAATTTTTCCAAGAGGAATAATTTTAATTTATCAAGTATTTACTTTAATGTGTGGTTAAATCTATCAATCTTTTTAACTGATAACTTAGTTAGAAAAGCTTTCCTCAACCATTAGATATGTAGACACTTTAAAAATACTAATAGTGAGGACAGAATGAGAATGAGAATGGATTCTACAGATCTTGAATTAAACTGTAGTTCTACCATTAATGATTTGTAGTAAACTGTATTTTCCAAAGATTGCTGTAACAATATCTCCCATATCACAAGCTTTATAGAACTTTCTGCCCTCTAGTGGAGGCAGGGAATCAGTGTAGTGCAGCAAACATGACCCCCAAGGCTGGGGGGAAAAAAAACAGGATACAATCTCCAGTTTCTGGTTTTTTTTTGTTTGTTTGTTTGTTTGTTTGTTTGTTTGTTTTTTCTGTCTTTCTTCTGAGACCTTGGACATCAAGGAGAAGAGACAAGCCCCAGTGTTTACCTACAAAATTCTGACACACAGTTCCAGTGAACACGATGTGTGCTCAACAATGTGTTACACAGCACTGTACTATGGTTTCAACATGAAAAGTCCCTCACAGGCTCAGATGTTTGAATGTTTGGTTCCAGGCTGGTAGCCATGTTTGGAGAGACTTTGGGAACTGGTGTAGAGAGCCTAGCCTGCCACTCACAGCTTTGCAGGTCAGTAGCTCATTCCTGCTCCTGTGCAGTCTCTGTTCCCTGACCTTCCCATATGTAAACAGTTCAGATTGAAGTCTCCTGTCACATGAGCCCGTACCATTCACTGTGAACCTGAAACTGAGAGCCAAAATAATACGTTACTTCAGTCAAGGACTTGTTTGATCACAGTGATGAGAGTAGTCAGGACTGGAAAATGTAATTTTCTGATACTTATCTACTTATTTCACTAGCCTGCTATCAGATTTCTTATCTACCAATTTGCCTAGATTATAGAAACTGTGAAAAGCATGTGATATTCATATATATAAGGTATTTAGAATTTGTTTAGCATATATTAAATGATAATAGACACAACATGTTTTTAAAGTCAAAGTTTATTTGATTTTTTCACAATGATAGCTTTAATACATGTGAAATTCATTTTGGATTAATTATGGAGTTGTGTGAATTATTTGTTGGTCAATTCCAGATCTACAGGTTACTGGCCCAAGTACAACTCTTAAGAGGATATCTGTAAAATAATCCCTATGTGACTACTCAGCCACATCAGAGTCTCCTCTTTCATGAGTTATGCATTCAGACCCTGCACCCTCTCTCACTCAAGAGAAACAAAACACACCTTCATTTTCCAACCTGACTCATCTTGTTTGGGAGCTCCGTTCTCAATGACTGGGTTGTTTCCTCTTAAAACTTAGAGAATAAGGCTGTGGGTTTGATTCCCAGCATCATACCACACCCTCTAAAACTTAGGGGGAAAAAAATGAAGGAAAGAAGTGAGGAAGGAACATGTTAATGGTCTTAGTTACAGACTGGCTTTAGACTTGTCCCATTATAAAATGTATTGGGCACAAATTATACCACAGACTGATCCCATCTTAATCCAAGAGTCCAGACACGCATCAGCCAAGGACAACACCCAAAGTGAGAGTTTAGCAAGTGGACAAAGCAAATCCTGTTTGGCAGAGAGAAAAATCTATAGATAAGTAAGCAACAGAGTTTTCAAAAGTCAAAGGTCCATGCAACTGAGCACCTACAAGGACAGTCTGTGCAGGCATCAAAAACACCCACGTCTGCATAAAACCCAGTGCTATGCGGCTCCTACTGTCCAATCAGGAAGCACAGAACAAGTTTCTAATTAATGACAACTCTTCATTTTCAATGAATTCAGATTTGGCTTTGTTAAGCATTGGTTCATGATCTTTTTAAAAGTTATTTTGAAACTCAGTGATAAATAATAATTTTTCCTACACTGACCTCTACTATCCTCATGTGTCCAGGTACAACCAAAACCCAGGACACAAACTCAAACACCCATATTCCATTGGCTTTTCCAAACTACTTGTCTATTCTGAAAAATTGTTTCCATGGATTTTGGTTTGGTTTGGTTTGGTTTTGGGTTTTGGTTTGGTTTGGAGGGGGGTTGGTTGGTTGGTTGGTTTGATTTGGTTTGGTTTGGGGTTTTTGTTTTGTGTTTTTGTTGTTGTTGTTGTTGTTGTTGTTTTTTTGTTTTTTTTGTTTTTTTTTAGTTTTTCGAGACAGGGTTTCTCTGTGGTTTTGGAACCTGTCCTGGAACTAGCTCGTGTAGACCAGGCTGGTCTCGAACTCACAAAGATCCCTGTGTTTTTATCTATCCTGGCTATAAAGTCCAAACTGAGGATTCCCTCCCCCCACAAATAAAAGCAACAAACTGCATTCTGAGACACAAGACAAGGACAGAAGTTCATTTAATTCTTCAAGTAGAAGGACAATTTGTTTATTGGGGAGTTTGTTGTGCCATAATACAGTTGAGAAGGCTCATAAGAATCCAGGACCAGCACTTACAGTCAGCTTCCTAACCAGAGAACTGTGGTTGCCCTCTGTTCATCCTGGCCCCATGTGTGACGCTTCAGTGTCTGTGCGGCTCTGCTTTTGTTTATTCCTTGGTACTTGATTCGTGTAGTGCCTGCATATCCCTCCTCTTACTGGTGTTAACTTCTAGTCTTCCATTCTTTCTGCTACTCATAACATTATCTTACAGTGGCACACATTATTACCCAAACACCATGTCCTAGTTAACTTTGTCAACTTAGTACCATCAATTAAGAAATTGCTTTAATCAGATTGCCTTGTGACCATGCCTTTGGGAGACGATCTTGATTATTCTTATGGACATAAGACAGCCCAGACCACTGTGGGTAGTATCATTCCTAAACAAGTGGTCTTGTGTTGTATGAGAAAACTAGCTAAGCAGAGGCCTGCAGATACACTATCAAGCATTGTTCCTCTCTGGTTTCTGCCTCCAGGCTCCTGCCTTGAGTTCCTGTCCTGACTTCCCTCCATGATGGACTAAGATCTAGAAGTATAAGCCAGATAAACCCTTTCCTAGCTTCAGATGGTTTGGGTTAGAATGTTTTATCCCAGCAACAGAAATGAAGCTAGAACGTGGTACCTCATGCTATTTCTACATATTCTGTTACCTTTAACTACAATAGAAACCTATTTTCCCTTTTTACTTCATTCCCATCAGAAGGAGCTGAGTAGCCAATTTTGAACAAGGCCTCAATCCCCAATCCAATCACCTGGTTCAACCAAGAGCCTTGATAATACAAATCAGATCCACACACACTTAACTGTTTCTGCATCAATGACAATTTCCGCAAGTTTCTAAGTATTGTTGTTTAATCTCTCTGTTTGTTTAGCTTTTTCTCACCAGAGATATCCCCCCATGAAATCTAACAGGCAAAGATTTGGATCAGATCATCAGCACATTGAAAAGCAGGAGTCATCTCCTCCCTACCTTCCGAATTCATGAGAGAAAGTATTGTGCCAGGAAGTCTCAGAGCTAGTCAAAAGAGAATCCCAATTCAATTGGTACAGAGGAGGTCAGAGTATACACACAGATTTCTCTTAAAAGTTAGGATAACATTTTGACCCAAGACTTTATGTTTTCATATAGGGACTAACTAATTCTAAGCCTATTTATGATTAGCAGCATTGTCAGCAAACCCAAGTGCTCTGTCAGATATGAGAAAAACAATTTACAAATATTTGCTTGGCAATGAGGTTGAGCTCCCAGCCCAATTTCTCCCATGACCACTCCCCTTTTCACTGCTAAATGACTTTCTCATTTACCATTAGTTAGGAGAGGAGAGCAAATACAGACTTTGGAGTAGAGGGAGTGGGTGGTAAGTTGAAGAATGATGCCAAATCCATAGGAACTCATAACTAGAGTCCCATTGGGAGGTTGCAATAGCTACTATGTTTGCAACAGATGAGTTCTATTCTGTTTTCATAACTCAGGAAGTTGATGTCCTCACAGTTGGTCATACATGACAGTCTTGAATAATGATACATGCTCTGCCCTGAGGAAGTGCAAGAGAGAAAGAATTTTAAAGACCATTCAATCCTTCTATATTCCTGGTAATAGCTCATCTTCAAACCACCATAGCCTTTCTCTACTCACTGCTAACCCAGAGAAGGGATTTATTCCAGAGTTGAGTAAAGTTGATACCCCTCCATCACTCAGTGTTATTCTTAGGGAAAAGTCCATCTTTCCACCCCTGTACAAGACCACTCATCCTCATCGACTCCACCCTCCCACTCATCCAAAGCACAAAGAGCACTATTATTTAGAAGGGAAGGTATGGTTTGCTGCCCATCACTTTATTCCCTACATTACCTTTTCTTGTGAGTATGTAAAAGTTCTCAGCAGCACAGGACTGTCTATGCTTCAGTGTGCAGGACCTCATGACATCATAGCATAGCCCAAGATGATACTTCTTGCATTTATAACACATTGTTCCGAGATCTTTGAGACACACAAAGAAGTACTTGGTGAGTGTAATCTCAAAGAAAATGCTGCAATTGGAGCCTTCTCCGTGGGAAGTTCAATATTAATTCATTGCTTCTAACCTTCCCCAAATAGGACTCCCAGAAGATTTGAGTGAGAGAGAAACATTTTGCTTTGCTTTGCTTTGTTCTGTTCTGTTTGATACAGGGTCTCTCTTTATAGCCCTGGCTGTCCTGAAATTCTTAATGTAGTCCAGACATAGAGATCCACCTGTCTTTGTCTCCAAAGTGCTGGGAATGTGAAAGAGAAGTTTATAGACACGAACCAAAGGTCTACCATTTGAGGAGATCAGGATTCCTGTAAAATTTACCTAGAGGGCTCAAGTAATAAACATCTTGTCTACATGATTCTGAATATTTTGTCAGTAACGGATAAAAGGAAACAAAGGTATTCTCACCTCCTTACTAACAGAAACAGAGTACCTGTACCAGGAGAAGCCTGGATTCTGAGGATGCCATGGAAGGGGGGTTTACTCTTAAACATGTCACAAATGAACTGTTTACCAAATATTTTACAACAGCCATGGGCATACCTTGTCCAACTTCCTGAAGGTCACCTACAAAGAGAAGAAAAATCAGTCTCCCTTGTCACAGTCTCACAGACATCCACAGTCCCAGAGCCAGTTTTAAAAAACTCCTCCTTTCCCAGCATCTAGAAACTTCTTAAGGAACCACCAGTTGCATCCTCATTGCCAGGACTTACCCCAATACGGGTACGACAGAAAAACCATCCCCAGCACAAACAGAGCACACATCCTGCAACCCTCGCCTTCAGCAGCTTCCTGTGGAAGGTACAGGCTATTTTCTCACTTGAGAGGAGAGGCTGGCCTGTCCTTGGGCTGTTCATCTAAATTACATCATTATTAATTTTCCAGGACAGACAGTACTTCTCAGTTCCCAGGATCATCATGCCTGACTCCCTCAGGACACACTCCTGGATCTTAAAAGTAAAGTTGTGACCTCCCTGATTCCCCAAACCTGCTCCTGTTTCTGGGCTGCAGGGCTTGACAAATCTTGGAGTTGGTTGTTAGAACTCCCTTTTGTTCCATCCTTAAAGAAGAGTGAGCAAACCTCATCCATTCTACCTACTGGCTTCTCCACAACTGCATAGATTTTTCCCTATCTCCACTGCCCTTGCCATCATCTGAGCCATCGTTATCTTGACCAGCCAATAGCTTTATTGTTTGGCTTCCTTGCTTCTACTCTTGCCCTAGGAGTGTGTCCTGAGGGAGTCAGGCATGATGATCCTGGGAACTAAGAAGTACTGTTTGTTCTGGAACACTTTTCAAGTGAGAACAAAGGAGGCGAATCACACTGTTGCCCTTCTTGCTTAACCAGTCAAAAGAAAAATAGTTACTATAAATACAGCAAGCGAACTGCTGGACTGATTAATTCAAAGCAAAGTATACTGAATTCTCCAGCTGCACTAAATGGTCATCATTAGTGTGGCACATCTTGATCCACAATGTGACCTAATGTCAAGACAGGTCACTATTTGTTACAGAAAGACAAAGAAACTGTCTTGTTTTTAAGCCAGTATGTCCATAGATGGAAGAGGTCATCATGGACAGAGTATCTGTCCATCTTTTACATCTGTAAGTAGAAGACAATCAAACAGATCTGTAAAACATATTCACACAATGCCACTTCCGTAGTTTTATAGATATTAACAATAAAAGTCATGTACTTGAGTGACTTCTCTTCTTTAGCTTTCTAGACAATACTATAATACATTCTGAAGATAAAGCTTTAAATGCTACAAGAGCAGTCATAGGCTCCAGGGAATTATTACTTCTGTTTGCATGTCACCTATAAACTGATACTTTGCCTCTGTAATTTTCTACCAATTCTGAAGAGTTCCATAAGGTCATAGAATTGGCCATGTCTCCACAGATGGTATAAAGTTAATGAAGTTCCTATATGTTGTTTTGGTTATTTGCTAAATTTTCCTTAATTTTTGTACACAGCATCCACAAACATTAACCCATTGATTCAACTCCTTAGTGAAAGTCTTGTCGCCTGTGGGTGTCCACTCTAATTCCTTAATGACGCCTTCTTCCTTCTCTCACTGCCCCCACCACTGGCTGCTTGGCTCCTGGCCACTGCATGTTCCTGAAAGAATATCAGAAAGACCCACTTCTTCTAACAGGGAACCTGGGGATCAGAAAAGGAAATGGGAAGGTCTGGAGAGGAACTACTGAGCATAGTTCTTGCCTACTGCTGCCACATGCCAGCCTTTCCTGGCTCTTGCTCATTCCCCCAACATTTCTCTCTTAATAAAGTAATTGCATCTCAACAAAACACAGAATGTGCTATCTGAAATGCTGAGAAGTCCCTGTCAATACTCTTCCAAACCTCTCTATTTTCTCATCAACCAACGGCAAAATAAAAACCTATGATTTCGTTCTTCACTCTGTGCCTGACTCCTTTTCTTTGGGTTATCTGCTTGCTTCTGTGTATAAGCGTGTTAAACAGGAAATTAATCGTTGTCTGAGTCGATCAAGTCCAGGAACTGCTGTTGACTCCCTGAATTAGAGCAATCATCCATGAAGTTAAGTTTGCACCATGGAACAAGTGCAAAATCTTTTGAGATCCAGTCCATCCCCTCAAGCAATAGGTTCTTCTCAGATCAACTGAGCAATGATCAAGCCTGCCCAGTTAAACAGCTTAAATTCGTTTCCTATTTAAAAATAAAACACGTTAGGGCCACAAATAAAATGCCAGCACACCGTTCTAGTTGCTTCTACCAACATGGCCACATCATTAAATCTCTTCTCTGTGTTCCTGACCATTACACTAGTGAACTGTGAAATCATTCTTAAAGTGTTTATACCCAACATATATACACACAAGTGCACAGCTCACCTATGTGTGTGCTCATTTAATACCTTGGCATTTTTAAGACTTCTGTTGAAGTTTAACCTATTGGGACTGTCAGAGTCAGGGATTTTGTCCAGAAACTCCAATTGCTAAAAGGAATTTGGACTAATTTAACAATTTCGTTTATGTGACCATTCACTATAAACCAGTGCATTACCATGCAAAAATATAAAAATATAAGTGCATGTAGATAATGCATATATACACATAACCAGGCATAGCGAGACTTTTTTCATTTTTTTATTTTCATTGAAAATAGCTATCTTCTCATACAATATGTCCTGATATATAGTCTTGTAATTTCCCCTCTCTCAACTCATCCCAATTCCTCCCCATCTCTCCTCATCTCTAGATCTACTGACTCTCACTAGAAAATAATAGGATTCTAAGAGATAACAGCCAAACATGACAAAATAAAATATAATAAGACAAAACAAAAACCATCAGATAAATTTGGGCAAGGTAATCCAACAGAAAGAGTCCTAAGAGGAGGCACAAGAATCAGAAACCCACTTGTTTTCACACTCAGGAGTCATCCCATAAAAATACTAAGCTAAAAGCTATAATATGTATACATAGGATCTGGTGCAGACTTTTGCCTGTTGCTTCAGTCTTTGTGAGTTCATATGCACCTTGTTAACTGATTCAGAGGGGCTTGTCTTCCTTTTGTCCTCCATCCACTCTGTCTCTTAAATTCTTCTCCCTCCTCTTCCATGTGATTCCTTGAGCTCTATGGGGAGGGATTGGGAGAGGAAATCTCATTTAACTTTCTCTCCACGTAAAGCCTGGCTGTGGGTCTCTGCATCTGTTCCCATCAGCTGCCAGAAGAGGCCTCTCTGATGATGACTAACTAAGGCATTAATTTGAGATATTTGAAACACAAAGATTTTGCTGTTCTTACTTATCTATCATTTTCCAGTCTTTAACTTGGACTGTTGGTCTGATTTTTTTAAATAATTAATTTTATGCATTTATTTGATTTTACATACCAATCCCAGTTCTCCCTCCTGTCTTCCCACTTCCCCCACCTTTCCCCCACCTCATCCCCCATCTGCTCCTCAGAGAGGGTAAGGCCTCCTTAAGAAGTCAACTAAGTCTGTCCAATCACCTTGTTGAGGTAGGACATGCCTATGAACACACAAGAAGCTTAGAGAACACCAAATAAACTGTACCAAAAAAGTCCCCTTGCCACATAATAATCAAAACACTAAACGTACAGAATAATGAAAGAATATTAAGAGCTGCAAAGGAAAAAGGCCAAGTGACATATAAAGGCAGACCTATCAGAATTACACCTGACTTCTTAATGGAAACAATGAAAGCCAGAAGGTCCTGGACAGGCATTATGCAGACACTAAGAGACCATGAATGCCAGCCCAGATTACTATACCCAGGAAAAATTTCAAACACCATAGACAGAGAAAACAAGATATTCCATGACAAAACCAGATTTAAACAACACCTATGCACACACCCAGCCCTACACAAAGTACTAAAAGAAAAACTTCAACCCAAGGAAGTCAGCAACATTCACAAAAAATCAGGCAAAGGATGATCTCACAGCAGCAAATCCCAAAGAGGGGAAATGCACACACAATGCCACCAACAACAACAAAAACAACAACAAAAAAAAAAACAAGAACTAGCAATCACTGGTCATTAATATCCCGTAATATAAATTGATTCAATTTACCTATAAAAAGAAACAGGCTAACAGATTTTGGATACAAAAACAAAACTCTTGCTTATACTGCATACAAGAAACACACCTCAATCTCAAAGACAGACATTACCTCAGAGTAAAGGGTTGGAAAAAAAATTCTAATCAAATGGATCTAAGAAACAAGCTGGTGTAACTATCCTAATATCTAACAAGAGACTTCAAACTAAAATCAATCAAAAGAGACAAAGAAGGACATTTTATATTTGTCACAGGAAAAACCCATCAAGAGGAAATCTCAGTTCTGAACATCTATGCCCCAAATACAAAGGTACCCACATTTGTAAAAGAAATATTACTAAAACTTAAATCACATATTAAGCACCACATACTAATAGTGGGAGACTTCATCATCCCACTTTCACCACTAAACAGGTATGCCAGACAGAAACTTAACAGAGAAATAAAGGAACTAGCAGATGTTATGACTCAAATGGACTTAACAGACATATATAGAATATTCCACCCAAACACAAAAGAATATACCTTCTTTTTAGCACCCCGTGGATTCTTTTCAAAAATTGACCACATAATTGGTAACAAAGCAAACCTCAACAGATACAAATTGGAATAACCCCATGTATCTTATCAGATCACTATAGCTTAAAGTTAGAATTCACAGCAACACTAACTTCAGAAAGCCCATAAACACATGGAAACTGAACAATACTCAGCTGAATCACCACTGTATCAAGGAATAAAGAAAGAAAGAAATTAAAGTCTTCCTAAAATTCAATGAAAATGACCTCACAACGTACCCAAAACTTAATGGACACAATGAAAACTAATAGGAAAGTTCATAGCACTAAATGCCTACATGTAGAAGCTGGGAAAAATCCCACACTAATGAATTAACAGAACACCTAAAAGATCTAGAACAAATTAAGCAAAATCACCCAGAAGGAGTAGACAGCAAAAAATAATCAAATTGAGGGTTGAAATCAATTAAATAGAAACAAAGAAAACTATATAAAGACTCAATGAGACAAAGAGCTGGTTCTTTGAGAAAATCAACAAGATTGACAAACTTTTATCCAAACTAACCAAAGAGCAGAGAGAGAATATCCAAATTAACAAAATCAGAAATGAAAAAGGGGACATAACAACAGACATGGAGGAAATCCAGAAAATCATCAGGTCATACTTCAAAAACCT